GCCTCAGAACTGTTTTGTCCAAAGTGTACTTAACTAAAAAGTTCTCGGGGAACGATGTGACTTATCTGATTTTTCCCACTGGAGTCTTCATTTGCATATGACTGACCACAAGCCACACAATCACATAATTATTGATGTCCACTTGTCTAGTGGTAGCAATCACTGACCTCATAATTATTCTACACGCCTGCCCTACGGGAATGACGGAGACAGAACCTTTCTCTTCTCGCGTGTCAGCCACATACATTACGTAATATGACATGAGTGAGCAAATCCACATACATCCCATGTACCCTGGGACTCAGGTAAACAAAGTGTGGATGAATGTTTGTATGTGGTTGTTGATCTTTGTCGCAAAGTGAGAAGTGAACATGGGAAGGGGGCATCACTTCTAAGTAAAGCTATAATTATAAATCCGTTGGAAACCATCCGAATGAAAAATGGGGTGTGTATGTTGAAGGGGGTTGGGGTGGGGTTGATTTGAAGGAAAAGAGATGTGTGGTTGTGTGTGTGGGGGTAGGGTAAACTGTTTGGAAACCCAGAGATATGCAGTTCAAATCCCTTCACACAGTCCAAACCGCAAACTCACAAGTCGGCGAGAAGGGTATTATGTTGCGTCAAGTTCTTCTATATCACATGACCGAATGATTGAGAGTCTCGTCGTACTCTCTGACCCCAGTCTCCTCGCTGTCTGACACTTTGGCACTTTCGTCTGTATTCACCGACACTTGGATAGAGTTTATCACATTCACAGAATCGGAGGTGTGTGGTACTCCCCCCAGAAAGCAGTAATTAATACCTTCACACTCTAACATTCTCTCTCTCATTTCCTCTTTTCACGCATAAACACTCATATTTTCAGTTCCTCATAATTATGCTCTATACATACAGTCGAGCCTGCTCTAACGGCCACCTGTCCAAGAAAATTATATATATATATATATATATATATATATATATATATATATATATATATATATATATATATAAACAGCCACTTCTCACTCGCCTCAAGGAGGTTTCGCCCCCTTGCGCCTAAGACGTCCACCTGTCTAAGATAACCACTTTTCTCCTCGACAATTGGGAGGCCGTCTTGGACAGTTTCGACTGTATGTTCTTTCGTTCGTTCTCTCTCTATCACACAAACATACTGCGAAGCATACTCAGGGAAAATACAGGCACGACACATTAGTTTTGCTCATGTCATCATAATATTAATCATGTTCCCACTATCGTCAAAGTGAGGACTCTCAGGGAAATCCCGCTCCTATATATAAACACACACCTGCAGCACAATTATTAGTGTCATGGCCTTCTCGAAAGACCCCAAGATATGACGATGATCCCCTGACCTTTTGACCTGACGAACACGAGCTTGAGTGACCTTTGTACACAGACTTGCATTGTCCTTTGGTCACATCTCTTGGTCACAGGATCTACAAAAGTTTGAGAAGTGATAGACTTCAATAGAGAACACTCTCGGGCAGAGCTGCAGAGAATCTGGATTTAGCAGACAACATAGTAGTAGTAGTAGTAGTAGTAGTAGTAGTAGTAGTAGTAACGGTTGTTTTTGGGGTAGTTCTTTTTGCCAAAACCTTCTTCCTCCTGGCCTCTAAAACTGTCTGACAGAAGGCGAAGTGACAATGCGACAACACATGGAGCATGCGAAGTACCGTAATACTGAAGCTGACTTCTGCCAGTGAAGACAACATGATTATGATGAGGCGAACAGATTCCACACTTGGTACCCAATGTCCATCTTTTTTGCCTCATTTGTGTATATTGTAGTAGTGTCCTTTATCGTGGCATTTTCTAGACTTTCATTCTTTCGCCTCATTTATGTGAGGAGTGTCCTTTACTGTGGTATTTTCTAGATTTCAGTTTTAACCTCTCAGAGGTTAATGGACGTAGTAGCAGTGACGCTGCGTGAAATGAAAAAACGTGACAGGTCCCGCAGGAGGGAAAGTTTTCCTCCCTCAAACAAGGATGAATGAATTCAGCAAAGAATCCTCTTCAGAGGGTTCGGAAAGTTGTGAGGAGCAGGGGACAAGCTGAGCGGGGCGTGAGGAGGGAGTCGGGAGTTGGCTGTTGTGGTGGG